CTCGATAATTTATAAGTTACAAGTCAATATCAATTTGGTTTGTCAACAGTTTGACCGAACTAAGTTAAGCTCCCAGAGAGATTTGATTGAACTTGTTGGCTATTTATATTTGTATTATTGTATATATTAAAATAACATTTTTTTAATATAAAAATATGAATCTATTAACAAAATTTGTATACTTTATTATAATAAGCTGTAGATAAAATTATATACTTTTAAAAAATATTTATGCATAAAATTTGACTCAAATTCTTACTAGCAGAGCTTGAACTTGAAGTCGAACATATATCATTAGCATTTTTAAACCTAACTCAAATAACAAATACTCAAAGCTTGATTTATTCAACACCATTACTATGCAAACATGGCTTCTCATTTTTCAATTTTAAGGAATACAAAATTTTATTAGTTACATTTCATCTAAACTTAAATTTTATAAATGTATTGTATTTAAACCAGTCGCATCGGTTATTTCTAAATTATTATACTACTATTTCAAACTTAAAAACTTACAAAAAATTACTTCGATTTAAATCATTATATTTTATGCCAAACTCAAACAAAAACTCTAAACCAAATCTTCTTCTTTTTTTTTTTTCTTTTTTTTTTAAAAAAAAAGAAAAAAGAAGCCCCATGAGTCTCTAGTGACTACTCATGAAAATAGTTTAATTTATTTTATTTGAAGAAGAATAAGGTGTCTTCCACTTTTAAGGTGGACAATTTATTTGTTGAAAAACAATCTCAAACGTTGATAAGAAAATATGTACTGACCATTGAATGAAGTTTAATGACGAAATAAATACCTATAAATAGGCTCAATTGATAAATTGAATAAAAAACAACAAACTCTAATACAAAATAATTTAATCTAATGGATATAACAAAATATAATATAAATCATTTAAAAACTAATTTAATCAGGAAGAAAGACAGTAAATAATCACTTCCAATGGCTTCAAAATATTAAACTATATCCAAATTTAAAATATCTAACATTTCTCAAACTTAAGAAATATAGTATAAACAAAATTGTCTGAACGAAATGAGTTGGAAACATATAATAAACACATTGAAATGAATATACGAGCCCTCATGCACACATCACCATATTGATACATCATATCCACCTACCGACAAAAAAAAAAAAAAAAAAAAAAAAAAAAAAGTCCCTCACCAATAGAAAACAAACACATAGCCTATGCAATGAACCCTAACAAAAAGAAAGACACATCCCACACACATGCAAGTTGTATGGCAAACTACAAACCCTCCAAAATGTAAGCACAATCCAAAGAGAGATTTAAGCTGAAGAGACATGCCTACAACCTCCAACTAAAAAGGAAGATAACATGCACACAATCAGACATAAAGGCAAGCTTTCAATCACGTTGATCCTCAACAAAAAAATCAACATACAATCTAAACAAATAACAAGCTTTGGACACATAGTCAAAACATATATGCAAGCTTTCAGGCATGCTTGCTCCCAATAGATAATTTGCACAGACAAGTTTTACTGCATTCCTATCCCTAACAGAATATGCATTAGTCAGATATGTAGGTTTCTAGTATACCAAATGTTTAAGCTCCCGAGCACATTTACACACAATAGAAAATAAACATATCATCAAAGAAACACTGACTTTCAAGCATGTCTGCCCCAACCATATTATAAATACCCAATAAATAATAATCACATAGTCCTACAATAGATAAAGAGTACATTGCCCATACAAATATGTAGGCTCTCAGGCTTACCTGCACTGAACATACAAATAGCACGCAGTTTAAATAAACATGTAAATTTTCAAGTACGCGAGCCCTCACCAAAAAGAAATGCACATTGATTAATGCAACCCACGCATTCGATCTCTCTGTATTTCATTTTGGGTTCTAAACAGGAAGCTATTCCATGTCAAATTATTGAATTTTTCAGGTTTGAAATACTAAAGACTTTGGTCTCAATCCATATAATATGACTACTAATTGTGATCTTTGTCTATACACGCCATACATGACTATCAGAATAAAACTAATCATGAATCATATCGAGAGTTGTTGGATTAATCCTTGCTAGTTCAGTCTCAACTCTCAAGTTTGACCAAGTTTATGGAATATGTTTTCACTTCCTACTCAAGCTTCAAAGATAGCTAGCCGTAACATAAAATAAGCTCACAATCCATACTAACAGCAACCTCACAGGTAACAGGTAGACATGTTCAAATGGTTATGTAGGCATTCAAGAAGCTTTCCTCCTAGCAAATAATAAACATACATTCAAAACTCAACAACTATATGGGATATCGGGTACACCCATTTCTATAAAAAAGTAAGTACACAATCAAAATCGGCATACTGGCTGCTGAACATGTTTTTCCCAAGATCTCAACCACATAGTTCAATCAAAATACAGCCTTTCAAGCACGTTGATTCTCAACAAATTAATCACAAAAAAGGGCTGTCAGCTGTCTACCTCAAGACAATGATAAGCGCATAAAACAAACAACAAACATCAAAGCACGCATATTAAGCACGGAAACCCCAACACGTTAAGCATAGAGTCAAAACATGTATGTGAACTTTCAAGCATTTGTAACAGTAAACATATACAACAAATAACAGTCATTCAAGCAAGCCGTAACCCAATAAGCACATAGGAAAAACATATATATGCAAGCTTGCTTCTAATGTATAATAATTACACAATCTAAACATATGTGAAGGTTTTTATGGCATGCCCCTAAAAAATAATGCATGTAGTCAAAACAATTATTTAGGTTTGGGGCACACTAGATCTTCAAGCTTTTGGGCATGCCTACCATCAATATTAAATAAGCACACAACTAAAGATGTGCTAGCCTTCAAGCAAAGAAACCATAAACAAAATAGCAACTAATATAAACACATCAATAAACAACAAGCTCTCAAAATAGACTCATGAGAATGGCTAACCCAATGAAAATCAAGCACACAACGCAATATATGTGCACACAACATAATCCAAACATATATGCAGCTTTTCTAGCATACCACCCAAATGTAGACAAGCAAGCAATAGTCAAAATAGATATACCGGCTTTTGATGTTTGCCCCAAACACAGGATAAGCACACCATCTAAATAGATATGCAAACTCTTAGACATGTTACCCAATAATGGAAAATACAAACCATAAAAAACAATATTCAGACTCATGGGAACACCTGCCCCAATAAAAAGAAAGCACACAATGCAATATATGTGCATGCTTTAGGGCAAACACATAATCCAAACATACATGCAACTTTTCTAACACACCTCCCAAATGTCAACAAGAAGTCAACAGTCAAAATAGATAACCAAGATTTCAAACATGTTTGCCCCAAATACAAAACAATCATACCACTTAAGTAGATGTGCAATCTTTCAGACATGTTTGCCACAGACATAAAATAAAAATAGTCAAAACAGATACGCAGGCTTTTTGGGGAAGTCTTCTCCTAACATAAATTAAGCACACATTCCAAACAAATATGTATACTTATGGACACATTTGCAATTAATAAAATAAGAAAAATACACATGTTTAGGGTTTAGGGTTCGGGGCATACTTCCCCTCAAATGAACAGTTGAAATAGATATAAAGGCTTTCAAAATGCTTCCCCATAACACAAAAAGCAAAAACCTGAAACAAATGTACAAACTTATGGATTCTTTCCACTAACCACAAACAACAATAGAAATAGATACACAGGGTTTGGGCATGTCTATCCTTAACAATTAATAGACAATCAAAATAAATGCGCAAGTTTTTTGCCCTCAACAAAAAATAAGTATTATACAGTCCAGTAGATATGCAGGCTTCCATACAAACCCCAAACAAAAATATGCATATAATCGAAACAATGGCTATCAAAGACCCTTGTACAGAACATATATTAAACACATAGTTAAAACGAACATACAAGCTTTCATCAGTTTCATGCACACATCACATTGATAGATAATATTCACCTATTGAAAAAAAGGGCCCGTCACCAACAATAAAAACACATACTCATATACAATGAACCCTAGCAAAAAGAAACACACATTCCAAACAAATGTAAGTTGTAGAGCAAACCCAAGTCCTACAAAAAGTAAGCAGATTCCAAATAGATATTTAACTTCACCACACAAAAAAAAGTAACGACAATCCGCATACTGGACATGGCTACAGCCTTCAACTAAAGACTTAAATCAGCTTGCAAGCTTTCAAGCACACAATCAAACATAAATGCAAGCTTTCAAACACGTTGGTCCTCAACAAAAAATAAACGGACAATCAAAACAAATTAACAAGCTTTGGGAACATAGTCAAAACATATATGCAAGCTTTCAGGCATGCCTGCTACCAATAGATAATTACCAAGCAATTAAACAACATTTGCAAGTTTTACTACATCCCTCCCCCTAACAGAATATGCACTCAGTCAGATACTAAGGTTTCTAGCAAACCAAATATTTAAGCTCCTGGGCACAACTACAGTCAATAGAAAATAAACATATCATCAAGGAAATGCTGACTTTCAAGCATGTCTGCCCCCAACATATTAGAAATACAGAATTCAGGTAGATGTGCAAAGTTTGTTGGAACACCTGCCCCAATAAATAATAAGAACATAGTCCTACAAATACACATGCTTAGGTATGCTTGCCTCAATAGATACAAGTACATTGCCCATACAAATAACAAACCGTTTAAACAAACACATAAATTTTCAAATACGCCATCTCTCAGCAAAAGAAATGCCCATATCAACTACACACACACACACACATATATATATATATATATATAGCAAGATAACAAAATATTAATATAATAGAGGAGTTAAGTTATGAACATAATTATAAACTTATCAGCATTAAGATGGCTTGAAGGATTAGGTTTGTAAATGAGATGTATTTTCTAATGCAGCTGAAATATAATATTCAAGAAACATTAGACAAATTGTTAAGCTAGAGATAAAAAATATAGATCACATTGAAAGGCGTAACAATAAAAGAATAAATGAGGAAGGGAAAATCACAAAGAGAAATAAACATTAGAGAAGGTGTAGTGCAGTTTACAGATATCTTCTTACCTGATTACCCATGCTTTGCCTCAAGGAACGACTGGCTCTTCAATTTCATTCTCATACTTCTTTAAGTTGAGAGTAGCACTTAATTTGCATGACTGATTTATTTTCTACTCGCAATTATTCACCTGTCAGTTAATAAAATAACTAAATTATCATCGGAAGTGGGTAGACATATAAAGAGAGATAGAGGACAACATAATAGTTTTGGTCATTCAACTCCTGAAGGCTTTCATGATTTAGAACAAATTGAGTGCGGTCTCCGATTGCTGTGAGGTGCAATTGGATTTTCCAATGCCAGTGCTATATGTTCACCAGCGCCCAAAAGTAAAACAAAAAAAAAGACACATTGATAATGAAGAGTAAAGTATAACATGCAATAAAACTGATGATTCTCCAAAAAATCAAATGATCAAATAAAAGCCTAAATACCTGAAATCAATCTGTACATCTATACCACCCAACAGAGGAGTACTAGCAGCACGACAACATCCTTAACCTTCTCCAATCTGTGCTCCAATAAAGCAGAAAAATAAATGTGTAACATTACCAAAGTCCATAAAGAAACATCTTGGGACATTTGAAACTAAACGATTAAAAAAAAAAACTTGCCCATTGGGTTGCCATAGTTTTCCTTGGTGAGTCATTGTATGAATGTGGCATCACAACTATCTTATGCCAGAGTCTAGTGGCTCTAAATCCTGAGAGGCATTTTTGTTTGCCAAGTCAAAGAGTAACCAATGATTGAAGAGCCTACACTGTTGACACCATACACTAACTATCGATTATCCTTCTTCATTGCAACCAGCAATACCTGAAGCAAGAAATTAGATATAAATTATATTTCTAAATGCCAGCAATACCTAAAGAAAAGTGTAGAACTGACAATCATATATTTGTTAAGTAACTAGTTAGAAATTGATATAAAATTTTTAATACCTCTGGAGTCATTCAATGTGAAGAACCCTTCAAGGACAACTTACTATCATGACCCACGACTAGAGTAATAATTAGATACAGAAGCATGTTTGGTTAGAAAACATATATCAATTTTCAGCTTCATCACATTAGGGTGTGAGAGTTAAAATATCCGAAACTAGAGTTATGTTGGAAGTTAAATTTTGATTACTTGCAAAACTGATCCGGGTACTAAAAAATGTGTTAAAACTAAAGTAGAAAAAACATGCAAATTGAAAATCTCTTTAGTATGGAAATTACCTTTGTGCAATATAGATAATCTTTTCATGAGATTCCGTTCATTAATTAACATTGAGAAAAAATCCAAAAATGAATCATGGAGTCTACACTACATACACCCCATGTATACAAATGCTGGATGGAAAGAGAGGAGTATTAAAACATGCAAGCTAAGGGCAAAAACCAACATCAAGAAAATAATGTGAATAATAGATAAAGTGAGTAGGAGAGAGAGTTGGAAAGAAGAAAAGAACTTGCCTGCAAACTTTCAAAACCATTGTAATTGATCTCAAGATATTAGAAATCAAGCGGATGACAATGACTTTCAAGAAACTAGAATATAAAGAAAGTACAACCAAAATAATTATATCATTTAAGAACAAGATGTAGAAAACAACATAGAAGAGTCCATAACATGTACTCTTTCACCAATCTTGAAACAAAATCTAAGTCACCAAACATACTATAGTGTTTGGAACAAAGTCTATAAGGTTTTGAATTTTTGATGTCTACAACAAACTATATTGCTTTGTTTGTCCTAGATAGTTGTCCATTTATGCCCATACTAAAGCTTGTAAGAAATACAGACCTTATTTCGTCCTTTGTCTTATTGAGTTATAAGACTTACCATAGTATCCACAAGCTATCAATTAATGTACACACATACACACTCACACACTAATCCATGATTTAGTGCCAATAGGATTAGATTGGCTACAAAGGAAGAACCTCAAATATTCAACCATGACAGACTAGAGTAACAAGATAGGGAAAATTAGCCATTTTTATTTTTTTGTTGAAAATACATATATTTAGATTTCCCTTTTCACTTTAAGGAATGATTTTTTAAATCCTCCTCCAATTCATCATCCTTGCCAATTTAAAGGAGAACCCCAAATCTCATATGTTTAACTACGGTAGGAAAAAATGGACAAATTTTTTGAAATAACATATTTTAGTTCTACAATTTCCTTTCCTACTCACAGGAAAGGTTTTTGGAATTAACCAGTTAGCCATCTCCTTTGAAACAAGAAAGGGAAAATTAGCTATTTTTAACTACGGTAGGAAAAAATGGCCAAATTTTTTGAAATAACACATTTTAGTTCTAAAAATTTCCCCTTCTACTCACAGGAAAGGTTTGTGGAATCACCCAATTAACCATCTCCCTGGAAACAAGAAACGGAAAATTTGCCTTTATTTTATGTTTAGACTTTCCCTTTCACTTTAAAGAATGATTTCTGAAATCACCCAATTCATCATCCTTGCCAGTTTTAAGGGAAAACTCAAATTATCAACTGTTTTAACTATGATAGGCAACAATGAAAATGGAAAAATTGCCAAAATATTTGAAAAAAAAAACACAATTTAGCGCTAAAATTTTCCCTAAATACTCATAGGAGTGGTTTGTGGAATCACCCAATTAACCATCTCCTTAGTCTGAAGTGTTTAAAAAATATTTTAGGAAGAGTTAACACATTTAAATAACAGACATTAGCAAGAGTTCGACACTTTAAGCATAGATTTAGACAAAAGAATAAAAAGAAAATAGCAACCAAATAAAAAAAAAAATCAAGAGCTACAGATGATGAAAATGAGTAAATCACACTTGGAATAAGGTGAAACATAAAAAAAAAAAACATTTTCTTAGTTACTCACCACAATATCCTTAGTTTGAATTAAAAAATAAAGTAAGATTATATTGGTTACGAAAAAAGGAACATAGAACCTCAATGGTTCAGCTAGAGGAAGAATGGAGAGGAAAAAATAGTCAAAAAATTAGATCAATTACAATGGTTGTGAAAGTTTGCAGTCAGTGTAGACTCCATGTTTCATTTTTGGATTTTTTCTCAATGTTAATTAATGAATGGAATCTCATGAAAAGAATAACTATATTGCACAAAGGTAATTTTCATACTAAAGAGATTTTCAATTTGCATGTTTTTTCTACTTTAGTTTAACACTTCTTTTACTACTCGGATTGGTTTTGCAAATAATCAAAATTTAACTTCCAATTCATCATCCTTGCCAATTTTAAGGGAGAACCCCAAATCTCATATGTTTAACTACTGTAGGAAAAATGGCCAAATTTTTTGAAATAACATATTTTAGTTTTAAAATTTCCTTTCCTACTCACACGAAAGGTTTTTGGAATCACCCAATTAACCATCTCCTTAGAAACAAGAAAGGAAAAATTAGCTATTTTTAACTAGGTAGGAAAAAATGGCCAAAATTTTTGAAATAACACATTTTAGTTCTAAAATCTTCCCCTCCTACTCACGGGGAAGGTTTGTGGAATCACCCAATTAACCATCTCCTTAGAAACAAGAAAAGGAAAATTAGCCTTTTTTGTATTTTTGAAAAACCATATGTTTAGATTTTTCCTTTCACTTTAAGGAACGATTTCTGGAATCACCCAATTCATCATCCTTGCCAATTTTAAGGGAAAACTCAAAATATCAACCGTTTTAACTATGGTAGGCAACAATGAAAATGGAAAAAATGGCCAAAATATTTGAAAAAAAAAAAAACACAATTTAGCTCTAAAATTTTACCTAAATACTTATAGGAATGGTTTGTGGAATCACCCAATTAACCATCTCCTTAGTTTTAGGTGTTTCAAAAATATTTTAGGAAGAGTTAACACATTTAAATAACAGACATTAGCAAGGGTTTGACACTTTAAGCATAGATTTAGACAAAATAATTAAAAAAAAATAGCAACCAAATAAAAAAAATCAAGAGCTACAGATGTTGAAAATGAGTAAATCACACTTGGAATAAGGTGAAACATAAAAAAAAACATTTTCTTAGTTACTCACCACAATATCCTTAGTTTGAATTAAAAAATAAAGTAAGGTTATATAGGTTACGAAAAAAGGAACATAGAACCTCAATGGTTCAGCTAGAGGAAGAACGGGAACGTAGAGGAAAAAATAGTCAAAAATTAGAAAATGCACATCTAAGTACCATCATCATCAAGTTTAAAGTAGAACCCAAAACCTCAATTATTCAACTATGACATGTGAGAGTAACAGGGGGAGGAAAAAATGGCCAAAAGAGATTCAAAAAAGCACATTAAAAGTATAGAGTTCCCTCCACTTTAAGAAATGACCTGTGAAATGACGGAGAATCTAAAACCTCAATAATGGTAATGACTTGAATCTAAGGAATGACTTTTTGAATCTAAAACATGGAAGAGGAAAAAGTGGACAATTTCTTTTGTTCTTTATTTTTTTTTAAAAAAAAGTGCATCTAAGTTTAGATTTCCCTTCCACTTTAAGAATGATTTGTTGAATCACCAATTCACCATCCCGTTTTGAGGGTTCTAAAATTGTTTTGGAAGACTTAATTAAATTCTTAAATAGCATTAGCAATCTTTCAGCACCTTTAAGTAGATTACTGAAGAGTAAAAAAATAAAATGGCAACCCAATAAAACAAATGCAAACTCACATGGAAAAATTGCATAAATCACAATATAAACAAGTAAAACAATTTAGAAGCCATTTTTTTGGAAGTGCAATCCATCCACAAAAGGGCAATTAGTTATTTGTTTTGTTTAAAAAAAGAGAACAAAATATATAATACTTCTAAAGATAAATAAAGCTAATAGATTACTTCAAATTTTTGTAAAAAGAAGTCTTAAATAATTTAGATTTTACACCAAAATTATTATCATCTTTATGTACAAAATATATCATTTTTTAAAAAAAGATCAATAGAAGAATTATTAGAAGACTTGGAAACGAGAATTGAAAGTTAGAAAGAAGTCGGGGAGGCAAATAATGAACTATGCAAATTGAAATGAAGCTTGGATTAAACAAAGGATATGATATTTTGAAATTCTAGGACAATGATTCGAAAAAATGGGAGAAGATGAGATAGTAATAAAATTCGAAGACTGAAAATAGGATTTGAAAGAACTTGATTCGAGTGAAAATGAGTTTATTGTTTCATTTAAAAAATACAACAAATGAACAATTAAATTATTGTTTTTTAAAGAGAAGTATTGAGATAGAATTGGTTCTAAGCTTTCAGAAACCCACTTTCTCGGCGGGGAATTTCTTCTAATAAGTTCGACGCTTATTATACGTTGCTTCGACAGCTGTGTACCGAAAATCAAATATCTGGTCTAGTGCAAGGACTTCTATCAGCATAGGTCGGATTTGCCGGAAACTTTTCACCAAACGAAGTGCGGGACTTGCTGCAAACAATCTCGACAAAGCAAAGAAGAATAATATAAATCAAAGAAAAAATGAGTTCTTTTTACCTCTAAATAAAACATAAATGATATAATAGTATAAAAAAAAATCAGAGGATGAATAATTTAAATTTTTTTACAAAGGATGATATAAAGAATTTGAAACATTATCATGAACATGTGAAAAGCAAAATTAAATACCATGAACATCCTGAGGCTTCATTTCAACAACAAGAAGCTGCATCAAACTTTCATCCCCTCTTTCTCCACCTTATCTTATTCAGTCACGCTTGAGTTTAGAACATTATACAGTCACGCTTGTGTTTAGAAGCGTAGCAACGAACAAAGTTTTATGTAGGCAGTAAATTTCTGCAATCAAATAAGAAAAACTACAATTATATAAAACAACGAAAATCAAAAGATATAAAAGAAATATTAATATATAACAATAATACACTAAAGAACCACCAAGCCTAACATACACCAGACCCACACCTCAGATCCAAACCAGCTTAGACCCGGACCAACTCAGACCCAAATCTAGACCAGAACCAGACCCAAACAAACCCAGGCCCAGGCAAGGTCCAAACCCAGACCCAGACAAGACCAAGACCCAACCCCAGCCCACTCCCAGACCATCCCAAGAAATTGTACCTTGGGCAGAAGAGAGCTTGACCCCTAATCAAACAGGGCAGAACTGGAAAGTTTAAAGGGAAAAAATAACAATAGCAAGGAATGACAATGGCTGTCCTTGATGCGGCTGGGATGAGCCAGAATTCTTCACCTCAGAGAGTTCCGGAAATTTAATTGGTGCAAATTTAGAAAAGATTCTATGTAAAATGAACACGGATAAAAGAAAAAGGATATCTTCCCGCATCAAGAAGCGTAGCCATACGAACATTGTACTCAGCAAGCTTCAAAAGTTCACTGCAAATAGGGTCAATTGTAATATCTTTATTGAATTTTCCTGTCCTCCTCATAGTATATTACCTATGAAAAGAAAAACAAAACAAAAAATTATATATCAAGAAGTATATAAGAAGCAACACATAAGAGATGCATTTCCAATTTTTTTACGAACTTCTATATAAAAAACAACACTGAATCAACTCAGATAGAAAAGAGATACAGGACAACAGATTGAGTGCGATCTACCGTTGCTGTAAGCTGCAAATGGATTTTTTAGAACCAACTAAATGATTCACCGCTAAATAAACAAGATCACCCAAAAATTAAAACTAGAATGGGGGATGAAACATAACACGTAATAAAATAGTAGATGTTTCTTCAGTCTTCACAACACCGAAAAAAATCAAATGTTCAAAAAAAAAAAAAAAAAAAAAAAAAACCCAAATCTTCGAATTCTATCCGTGAATCTATACCACACCATCTTTAACAATGCTCCAATCAAACAGAAAATTCCAACATTACCTGAAAACCACAGTACGTTGAACCCTAAACACGGGAAATGATTAATGAACCCCGAGCCTCATTCTCGTCGGCCACAAGATGCGCTCCCCTTCTACATTCCTACTGCAAAGATGGATTGGAACTACGAGAATGATAATGATTTCGTATTATATATGGAAAATATAGAACGCAACGGTCATAAGATTTTTGATTTAATAGGAAGATTCTAGACATAATCCAGTTATTAAGGTCGCATTTGGCTAATTTTTTGTAAAATCGTTAATTAAATAGAAGGTTGATACGTTGTGCAGTCCATTCTGAAAATGGGGCAATGCACACCCATATTTATACATATGTATATGTAAAAATATTATTTTTTAAAAAATTATAAAATATAGGAGTATTTAAGTTTAAATAAATTTAAAATTTTGTATTTACTTTTAAAATAAATTATTTTGATATTAATTTATTTTTCTAATTAATTTCACTAATTATATATTTATTTTTATTTTTTTATACTTTTTTATTAATTTTTATTTGATTGTAATTTAAAATTAATTTGAAATAAAATACTAAATTTGAATTTTTATTTAAATAGTATTTTGATTGGATATTTTATAAAAAAATAGTAATATACTTTTACTAAAAATTAAGATAAAAATAATAGTCATTTATGTTTGAAATTGTAATCAAACAATAATTAGTTATAATATTATAGTCTCTCCCTTTCAACTCAAAATACCTTTTACTTTTTTATTTAAATTATAAAAATATCATTAAACATATAATTAATTTATACGTGGGAAAAAAATATCAAAATTCTATGCACTTCCATTAACCAATGTGTTTATAATACATCCAGGCTGCCTCCTAAATGTCTCTACAAATTTCAATCCATACAGAGTGGTAAATATTGCTACCATAGAGTACATACCTTTCCAAGCCTTTTACACACTTTTCGCGTGCTTTTTCTTGCTTGCCCGTAAGCTGCCCCTGTAGGTTTGCCAAGTTAATTCATCAAGAACACAAAGCAACAACTACCAAATAATACCAACATTCAATAAATGTGCAATTATCTGATTTCTGAAAAGAAGACCAGGATAACAACACAAGAAAATTACACAAACGGACATTTCAATTTTAGAGAGACAGATCGTCCAAAACAGCATGTAATCACATATTTAACATATTAGTATCAAGTAATACATATACAACAAGGTTCCCTACAAAAGCTAAAAAAGAAATAAACATGCTACTTTGGATAATTATGCCAGAAAACTTCATAAATTATAAGGCATGAAGCTGTAAGATAGAATGCTAGAAATTCCAATTAAATATAACTCAACCAACTCGATTAAAGGCCTGAGCTACAAACCTGATGGACCGACCTTGCATTTCATCTTCTTGCAAATGATTCTCCATGATCATGCTGATGCACGGTCGAAGTGAGTTAGAAGAGTTCACTCAGCACACCTACTAATTCCAGGAGGCTTATCCGGGAGAATCATTGCCTGTCTCAAGTTTCCTGCTTCACCCCACTTCCCGGCTGCTGCATATATATTATGAAGAATCACATATGCTCCAGATTCCCAGGGATTCATTTCCACAAGCAATTTGCCTATCTCTTCTCCGACCGTATAATTTCCATGACTCAGGCAAGCACCCAGCAATGACTCCAGCAAGTTGGCACCCGACTTGCCTTGAAAATTCTTGGCGATTTCGTATGCCTCATTTAAGTGGCCACTTCTTCCCAGAAGATCAACCATACAGGCGTAATGCTCAACCCGTGGTCGAATGCCTTCACAGGTAAACAATAATTTATTTCTATCTTAGTGAGAATAAATTGACATATTATCGAACTAAAATAGAAACGGATACTTCTTGCGGAGCTGCAAGTGCAAATTCGCATACCTTCAACTATCATCGAATTAAAGACCATCATGCCTTGCTCCACCGCACCCGTGTGGCTGCAAGCAGACAATACACTCATGTAGGTAACTTCGTCCGGTTTGATACCTAGTGCCCTCATCTGTGAATAAAGATTTATGACAGCTATGATATGACCGTGCATTCCGTAACAATTTATCATCGTACTCCAAGAGACTGCATCCTTTACCGGCATTGCATCAAATAGCTTCGCTGAACACGAGATGCTTCCACATTTTGCATACAAGTCAATCAATGCGTTACAAACTGTCACATATTTGTCAAACCCTTTCCTCACAAGATATGAGAAGACAGAGTTTGAGGTATGTAGGTTATTCAAATCAACACAAGCTGAAATTATATTCAGAATCGTAACATCATCGGGCTCGATTTTGTTGCAAACCATCTCGGAGAAGAAGGAGAATGCCATAGCAGTCGTTTTCAAAAGAAGACATGCGGACAGAGAAGTGTTCCAGAGAGAGATATTGGACTTGTCTCCAACATCAAACAACAACAAACATGCTATCGAGTTGTTAAACGCAGCATACATGATCATCAGAGACGTAAGAAGAGGAGTTTCGAGAGGAATCATTCGCCTAACAATGTAGGCATGGATTGATTTCCCCTGAAGAAGAGTATAGCACGCAGGCAACAAGTTCAGCAAAGTTACGTAATTCAGCTTTTGATCCTCCAATATCATTTGATGAAACAGTTCGACAACATCCTTCGAAAAGTTATGTAACCGGTAGCCAGTTAGAACAGCATTCCAAGAAACAACGCTCTTATAATACATTTCATCGAACAGCGACCTTGCTGCAACGAGATCTTCTTGGTTGACATACATACTAATTAGAGAATTAGCCAAGGAAACATCGGTTGTCAGAGAAGTTCTGATCGCATAACTATGAATTGCAGAGCCAAGCATTTTAAGGCAAGAAGGAAGGATGCTTATCAGGGTAATTTCATCAAAAGCTATTCCCTCTTCCCTCATCTGATGGAACATGAGAGTCGCTTTCTCGGATTCTCCGTTGGCTACACATCCCGAAATGATTGTGTTCCAGGAAACAATGTTTTTCATAGCCATTCTGTCTAACATCCTGAAAGCGGAGACCAAGTCATTGACACTGCAATAAAATGCCAACAATGCGTTCGAAGCAACAAGATTGGAATCCATCCCCTTCCGAATAATAAAACCATGAGCAGACTTTGCAGGGAGAGAAGCATTCAATTTAGAGCAAGAAGAAACGAGGCTAATAATCGAAATTGCATCAGGAGTATAGCCATCCACCTGCATGAGGCGGAAAGCATCCAAACTCTGCTCCCAAAGGCCATGTCCGGTGTACGCTGAAACCATCGAATTCCATGCTAAAAGAGTCCTTAATTCTAAACTACGAAAAAGGAACTCTGCGGAACCTAAATCTCCAAGTTTGGCATAAGATGAAATAAGAGCTGTGACGACCAACGGCTCCTCAGCATATCCAAATTTAACCAAATAACCATGGAACATCACGACAGGACAAACACTGCCAAGATTCTCAGAAGATGGAACAAGAGACACAAATGTAACCATATTAGGCTTCACGCCATCGATTAGCATCGTTCGAAACACTGCCACAGCATTCTCCAGTTTATCATTCCTCGTGTACGCAGATATTACTGAATTCCAAACTGCAACATCTTTCCTGGCCGAAGTAGCGAAAAGATCACCAGCTGCCAAGATATCCCCACGGTTAGCATACATTGAAATCATAGCAGGTATCAGCGATTCCTCCTCATTGTATCCAAGTTTATAAGCCAATCCATGGAGAGAAATACCGAAACTGTTAACTTGGGAGCACACAGGGAGCACACTTGCTACGGTGATGGCGTTAGGCTTCACATCATTACACATAACCTTGAAAACTTGCAGAACCTTATAATCAAGTCCATTGAAAGAATACCCAGAAATAAGTGCATTCCAAGCAACCACATCTGGTTGAGGAATTTCATCAAACACTTGACGCGCATCCCAAATTTCTCCTACTTTGCTGTAAAAGTCCAGCAACGCAGTTTGTACAACCAGATTTACACCGAACCCGAATCTAATCACGACACCGTGAACTGTTCTTCCGAGCCTACTATCGCGCAAACCTGCGCACGCCTTGATCATAAAAGGATAAGTGTAGCTATCCGATAATATTCCAGAATTTCGACAGGTATGATAAACCACTGCTGCGTCTTTAAAGAGTCCATTACTGGACAAATTTCTGAGAAGAGAATTCTGCAAGGAAAGGCTCGGCCTGTGGATTGTTTTAAAGGCAGAAAGGCAGAGTTCGGCGCATCCTTGAAGACAGCAATGGCGAATGAGCTCTTGCGTGAAGGGCTGATGCTTAATCAATCCGTGAACGATCAGAATCGAGGTGAATGCTTTAACGTCTTGAAGGTTTCGGCAGAGTGGTAAGAGAGAGGTCAATTGAGCAGTGGAATGATAAGAGGAATGGAAGAAACAAGGGAGAAATGAATGACGCCTAAAATATTGGAGAGGAAGACGAGACAGCAAACACGCCATCATCTGACCATCATTGCACCGTTACATCCTACACTCATTGCAGCGGCTGAACAGAGTTCTATGTCAACAGGAAATCCTGTAATACCGTACATTTGAAAAAGATTTTTTTTTTTTTTTTTTTTTCTAATTTAAAAATAGTAAAAAAATGTTTTCTTGTATGCATTTTTATCTTGATTACCAAAATTACAGTATTCAAGATTCTTGAAGACCAATTCATACTCAACATTAATTGAAGATTCGACACTATTTATTGCATCAAATATTTTCTTAAATAAAACATTAAATCAAACCAGTTCCATAAAAGATGACAAGGTTGTGTGAAGGGTTCAGTCCCGACCATTAATTAATTTAAATTATTAAGGGTGTTGATTAAACTTCAACAGTGCAGAGTATGTTCAACATAAAATCATTTTTCGTAAATCAAATATTAATTTTTTATTTTTTTCAAATACTAAAATTTTAAAAAGTCTCCCAAGATCCTTGTCTAAACGGTGCCACGCATAGAAATTTATTACAACATCAGTACTGGTACAACTTATTGCATATATATTTTACATGGCTTCTTTATTATATACTATGATTACTAGACGATGATCACATATCCTTCTTATTCTCAGAGAAGTGCATCTACGGCTAATGAAAGCTAATTAAATCAGGTTGCAAGTGAGCAAACAATGCAACCAATTAGTGCTCGGGTTCTGGAAATGCAGGCAATCCTGGAATCTCGGGGATCTCCTTGGAAGAAAGTAGCGGCAGTCCCGGAATCTTGGGAATCTTCTCTAGCTCTAAATCCATCTCCTCGTCCAGAATCTTTTGGACATCAGATTCCTCAGACGACGGGCGTGGAGGGAATCCCGGAATGTGTGGGATATGGAGGTGCTCTTGCAAGACCGGGAAGTCGGGATGATGACGAGCTTCAGAGAAGCTCATCATCATTGTAATGGCTGCCATCAAAGCCATGGCAATGGAAGTGTAAGTGCTTCTTCTACCCATTATTGCAATGGTTATAAGTGTTTGTGGTATTAGTGATAGTGCTGGAAAGGAAGAAGAGATTGATGAATTCTTGGCTGTGGATGTCAAATGGGAATGGAAGATGGAATTTATAGTTGATTGGAATTTATGAATGTCATTTATTGCTGGTTTGGCACAAGTACTAGCTACTAAAACCATATAGTACTGAGGCTGTGTTTATTTAGATATGTTTGGAAAAAAATTGGTTTAGATTTGATATAAAAATAATATATGATAGAATATTTTGTGAGAAAAAAAAAATATATTTAACGGCAGAGTTCAAATAGCAAAATTCGGGGAAATTTGGCGAAAGAGGAAAATTTGGCATTAAATCGGCAATGCTAGGGTGTGTTTGTCTGAGGGATTGAATTTTAAATATACTATTCATCATATTTTTTTTCCAAAAAATATCGAATTAAACAGTTATTTTTCATTTTTTATATTATATTAAAAATCAATTTTACATTCAAAATATCATTATCAATATCTATTTATATCACATCATACAATTATTCAAATTCAAAACTTTTACCTTCAAATCTACCTTAAAATCCAAATCCCCAAACAAACACACCCCTAGTGTCCCCGCTATGTAATTGTACATTATTAATATTTTGTCTTTATGAATCTTTTGCCTTCACAGCTTGGTTTTGTTCATGACAAAAGTTGAATACTTTTTAATACTTTAAAATAGGGGAAAAAAAGAATGTAACTTAATTTTTTTTTTCCGAAATTTTTATATAATTTTTATGATTTCATATAAAAATATATTACTCTATTCGTCCATCAAAATTATTTCTATTTTTTTTATTTCACAAATAAAAAAAATAAAAATATTTTTGGAGAAACAAGAATTATTATTATAATTATTATTGTATCAAACTATTCTTTAAACAGGTACAAATCAACAATACTTCGTTTTTATTTTCTCTGTTCACTTTGGGTTTTTTATTGGTATATTTTTTATATAAGATATAAGAAATTGTATTGTTAATATAAAAAAAATAATAATTTATTTTAAAATGATTAACTATTTTTAAGTGGATCAAGTATATATATATATTATATTAATATGTGTTTATGTATTTTTTAATAATATTTATATAAAAATTGTTTCACTTAATAATACTATCTAAACAAATAATTCAGCTACGTACATACTAATTACATCATTTAATTTTTCATGAGAGTAGAGGAATTGAGACAACATGAGTATAACATTACAACAATCTTAATAAAATATTAAATTGAGTATCGATTTTATTTTATTAAATATTACATCAAATACTAATAAACTTATATGTCAATATTGCTTGTGGGCAATCACCCTAAAATATTGCATTTAATATTTTATTTTATTTTTTTTATATAAAATATTGTATTCAATAATTATTTTTTCAGAATATATAAAATGAGTACAATCTTAATTTAAAGATGTTTACCATATTAATGATGTAATAATGAGCTATAGCAGAGAATATTTAAAAGGTATGTGATGGGAGAAGGTGTTTAGGTCATTAATTTATGACAACCATTAGTGTCGCATTTGGCAAAAGGACATTTGGTACACTTTAGATTAATTTTTTAAATATTAAATATTGAAATCATTAAAAGGGGTCAATCAATACATATAGTGCTACAAATTAAACTTAAATTTATTGTCAATTGTCGTGGGCTAATTAGGATCCAACGTTGAGGTACTGGCAAAAATTGATCCGATACGAAATAATTGGGTTTGAGCCAAATATTTCAACTCAATTATGGTAAACAGGTCAGGTTAGGGTTATGTTTTCAATTCGAACTTAATATATTAATACTGATTAATATATTTATTATATATGTAAAATAATCATAATTTAATAATTTTTTCGTAAATTAATTTAAACTAAGTTTAATTTTAAATAATTCAACTTACTCAAACCAATAAAAACTAACATAATACGACAACAAACAAAAAATTATTTAATTTGAATAAAAAAATTCGACTTAATTATGTATACGGGTCAACACGAGTCAATCCGAACCCGACACGATAATAAACGGGTCAACATGAACCCGACACGATCATAAACGGGTCAACATGAACCCGACACGATCATAAACGAGTTGAGTTAGAATTGAGTAATTTAACCCGTTTAAAGTATTCAACCCGACACGAATCGACTCATTGCTAGCTCTAATTAGCATATGATATTGACTATATTACCCTCAATTCAAAAAAATCTCGAATCGAGAAGCCCAGCCCCAAATGCAGAAACTTTCGGTTTCAAACCAAAAGAACCCCAAACACAGCCTTTGGATTTTCTTCAAAGCCTAATAGCCTTCAGATTGCAACTGACGGCCCGGCCCGGCCCCTCAACCCATGGGCCATGGCCTATAGATTTCAATTTGAAATCTTGCAGTGTCATCTGGGCCCACCCCTAAGGCCTCGTTTAATTTCCACTATTCATCTTATTTTTTTTCTTTAAAAACATCAAATCAAATACTTATTTTTTATTTTTTATATTATACTAAAAATCAATATTCAATTCAAAACCTCACATCAACACCTATTTATATCACATCATACAACTATTTAAATTCAAAATTTTTACTATTCAAATCTCAACTAAAAATCCAAACCCCAAACAAACACACCTTAATTTGTTGACTCTTTTCATATCCGTCGTCTTATACTTATTTTAAAATTTATAAATTTAAATTTTTTTTATTTTTAATTAAACTATTTAGTTATTTTAATCTTAATTTATAATTATTTTTATTATATTATAATTATTTTTACTAATACACTTTTTAATTATTACTAATTGCATAATACCTAAAACTCCGTGCCTCCGCTAAAATAGAAAAATTAGCTGAGATTGAAGGAGTATTAAAGTTTGTTTGAATATATTTAAATTTAATTTTGTTATTCAAATATATTTTAATAATGTATTTTATGAAAAATAATACTCCCTTCGTTGGCCTTTATGAATCACATTTATGTTAGCGTCATTCGCTTAATATTAAAAATATTCTTATATATTTGTATAATTTTTTTTTGCGAATGTTATTCTATTAGTATTACAAGACACTAATAGAATAATTTTTTCAATTTTTTTTAAATTTGTACTGTATTTTAATATAATAATTAATATTAAAAAATGAATACGAAAAAAAGTAAATCGGACCTTAAAGACAGACGACAATAACACATTTTTATTGATAATGATATCAACCAAGCAGGTTTGGGGATTTTGACTGTGCAGTTAGTGTGCATAATACAAATCCCCCAAACCACCCTTGTCCCCTCTTGGCCGGCACTGCTGCAACGCTCGTAGCTTTTTACAATTTTTTTTTTTTAAATTAAAATATAATGTGCGTTTGTTTTGGTTGAGTTTGAGAAATTTTAGTTTAGGTTTGATATTAAAATAATGTTTGATGGGATATTTTATAAAGGAAAAATATATATTTTTTCTGAAAATGCATAGTCCAAATAGTAAAATTTGGAAAAATTGAGGTAAAGAAATATTTATTATAATTATAAGAGAAAAAAATATATACAATATATGTTATTTTGTAGAAATTAAAATTTTCTATAATACAAATAAATAAAATTTTAAATATATATATTGGGTATAATATAAATTTATAATCAAATCATACCAAATAAATTTTATCAATTAAATATAATACATATTTATATTATTTTATTAATTTTCCATCAAATTAATACATATCAAAACTCTTCAAACCTCAATCAAACACAAACACAAACACAAAAGAAACAATAAAATCCAAATTCATCCAAAAATTCAAATAAAAACCAAATTCAAACCCAACTTTCTCCAAACTCCTCAAAAGATACACACCCAAAAAATATTACTCCCTCCGTCCCAGATACAATGTCCACGTTGTCGTTTCTGTCTGTCCCACGTACCATATCACTTTCTTTTTTTTTAAAAATGATTACACACTTTAATCTCTTTTAAATTTTTAAATTTTATTTTTTT